CTGGTTGGGGTGGCGATGTAGGGTCAGATCACTATAGCAACGTGAGAAGTGCCGGTTGCGCCAAATTCTGACCCCCTCTAGATTATTAACCCTCAAATCCCCAGTATAGGTAGGTTTAGGATTAGGTGTGGGGGTGGTGTTAGGATTAAGCAATCAAGTACAGATCGAAATTAGGCACTGCGTACCTGCCAACTTCAAGCACTGGATTATGATATATAACCGCAAAATGTAATTCATGCCTAAGGGAAACACGTGTCAGAGGCATTAAAACAGCACATTCATCTGTCAAAGACAGGGCAAGATGCAGGAAACCCCTATGCTTTTGTTTGAAGTGCTTAAGAGTTTCCACACTGTAAAAAAAAATATATTTTCACGATTTGTAATCACAACATTTTTTTCTTAAATAATTTATGTTTCTGAAGATTAAATCAATCTAATTCATTGTATTACCTCAATTTTTACATTTAAATGAACTTAAAATTTTAAGGCAACTAGGTTACTTCATCTTTTAAGTTAAACCGACAATATTTTTTTACAGTGCATGTTTCGGACAACTTGACCCTCCGGTGAGCAGCCACCCAGCAGCCACCTAGTGTAACCATAGAAGATGTCAGGACGGTCCTTCAGAGAGTCAAGCCACTGCAGGCCCAGATAACATCCCAGGCAGGGTCCTGACTATCGACTTCACTATCCAGCTAGATTCAACCTCAATCACCCCATCAATGTCGGTTAGAAATCTTAGAGTAACAGTTGATGACCAGCTGACCTTCTCAGACCAAGACAGCTCGATCATGCAGGTTTGCACTGCGCAACATCAGGAAGATCAGGCCTTTCCTAACTGAGCAGGCAACACAACTTCTTGTCCAGGCCCTAGTTATCTCTAGGCTTGATTACTGCAATGATCTTCATCATCATGTGCAATAAACATCAACAAATGATCCAGAATGCTGAAGCTTGTCTTGTCTTCAACTAACCCAAAGCCCACGTCACTCCTCTGTTCATCTCTCTGCACTGACTACAACTCGCTGCTCGCATCAAGTTCAAGGCGTTGACGCTTGCTTTAAGATCTATCACAGGCTCAGCTCCCAGGTCTACATCCCTACCAGAAGCCTTTGATCGGTCAATACGCGACGGCTCGTGGTACCATCACAGAGAGCCACAAAATCACTCTCCAGAACATTCTCATTCACGGTTCCATGCTGGTGGAAGGATCTACCCATCATCATCCGAAATGCAGAATCCCTGACAGCATTCAAAGACAACTGAAAACTCATCTCTTAAATTTTGTAAAAAAAAAAAAATGGTAACACTTTAAAATAATGGTCCGTAGTTAACAAGTAGCTATGCAGGAAGTAATAGGTAGTACTGCATTAACACCGAAGTTAATACTATTAACTAATATGGAAGCAATATGAACTAATCATTAAGTAATAGGTAATTTAGTACAAAGGTAGTTCCTTGGTAGGTATTTGATGTTACTAAAGAAATATATCCTCATTGAGAACTACTTGTGAACTAAGAAATAATAACCAATTAATTACTAATCACAAAAGTAACATGTCTAAAAAGTGAACAATTGTGGGGGTTTTACTCTTAACATGGTCATAACATTTCAGAAGCACGTGCCTCAAATGGGTTCTTTGTGGAAACCAGTTTATGAAGTTTATACATCCCCCCAAATACATTAGTCACTACTCTTGCCAGGATGGACGCATGTTCTCTGTTTATTTAAAACTTAAACATAAAATAATCCTAATAAAGACAGTTTTTAAAAATAAACCTTAAATAATTAGGAAGTGATGCTGACACTCTCATGATTGGATTAGTTCACTATTATGAGCTCTATTGAATGTCAGTCACATATATCTCACACTCCAAAGACCTATAACTTTATGTTAGAGTAGCTGCCTGAGGAGGACTTCTCTTATGACATGAATATAAACATTGATGGTCACTTGTCAAAAACAATTTGTATCTTTAATGAAGAAATTGGCTGCATTTATGTTACGATAAGCGCAAAACCACATCTTCCAGATTACAGTGTTTGTTGGAATATTAGTGCCTCACAGAACCTGTACAGTATGTGGCAAATATAAAATTAAATTACTTGTATCATTTGTGAAAAACATGTTAACTCCTCAATAACTACTTAAGCGTTACCTTGTCATCCCGCAGGAACTACTAGTGATGTGGCCCATTATTTTAAAGTGAAAAACATGTTAACTCCTAAGTAACTACAAGCGTTACCTTGTCTACACAAGGTAATGCTTGTAGTTAGTTAGGAGTCTACACAAGGTAACGCTCTAAGACCTTACAACACCTGCAAATGCAGAAGTGCAAACTCTGGCTAATTTCGCAAATGATTAAAAAATAAAGCCAAATGATGTTGTGTATTATACACTTCAGGCCTTTCGAATTCCCAAGTTTTGTGTTCTGGTGAATAATCACACATTTGTAGGAGGACCCTCATCACTGTTTTGGCCTTGAGCGAGACACTTTAAACCACATTTAAGACAACTGCAGAGCTTTATGCAACTGTGTTGCAAAGAACTATGGATGAAAGGCAAAGTAAACTGAACAATACCACTGTCAGGTGTATGTTTGTGATATTGGCTGCATCTGAAATCACATAGTCTCTTGAGTATGTAATTTCTTCATGATTGCTAAAAAAAACTATGTTGAGTATAAGTATGTGTAGTATTAATGCAATCTTCTGGACATGTTACATTCGCCATATTGTCATCATCACGTAATCTACCAGCGTCAGTTACGTCAATTCACTGCCATTCACAGATCCTCTCTGTGGCCGCATGGGATAGTGGCCGACGTACTTCAAAATCTTGTCAGAAGTTGTTCTTCTTGATTCCCCTCTTGACTGCTCCCTTTTAGTTCATTCAGTTGTTCAGTATTGGTTATGTTAAAGGGTTAGTTCACCCAAAAATGAAATTGAAGTCATTAATTACTCACCCCCCATGCTGTACCAACCCCGTAAGACCTTCGTTCATCTTCGGAACATAAATAAAGATATTTTTGATTGAATCTGAGAGCTGGATCACTTCTACATAGACTGTCTAAGGGACTGGCTCTTGACGGCCCATAAAGTCATTAAAGAAAAGGTTTAAATATTCCATGTGCCTACAGCGGCTCAATTATAAGTTTATCAAGCGACGAGACTACTTTTTGTGCGAAAAAACATAAATAACGACTTAATTCGACTATTCTATTACTTCCTTATGGGCGCATGCGAGGACGTTCTTCTCCTTCGACTACTTTTTGTTACCGGCTGCTCCGCTTAGGAGTATTAGCGCCACCTACCGTATAAAATGATGATCCATATATAAGGCGCTCCGGATTATAAGGAACACTGTCGTTTTTTGAGAAGATTAAAGGCTTTTAAGTGCACCTTGTAGTGTGGAAAATACGCTAATTGAAAAGCGTATACAGCGCGCATCTTCCTCTGCTTGTAAATAGAAAGTTTTGCGCTTCCAGCTATATCAGCACATCATCTTATACGGTAGGTGGCGAAAATACTCCTAAGCGGTGAGCAGCCGGTAACAGAAATTAAGTCTCAGTTCTCGCGCATGCGCCCATGAGGAAGTAATAGAATAGTCGAATTAAGTCGTTATTTATGTTTTTTTCGCACAAAAAGTAGTCTCGTCGCTTGATAAACTTATAATTGAGCCGCTGTAGGCACATGGAATATTTAAACCTTTTCTTTAATGACTTTATGGGCCGTCAAGAGCCAGTCCCTTAGGCAGTCTATGTAGGACTGATCCAGCTCTCAGATTCAATCAAAAATATCTTTATTTGTGTTCCGAAGACGAACGAAGGTCTTACGGGGTTGGTACAGCATGGGGGTGAGTAATTAATGACTTAATTTTCATTTTTGGGTGAACTAACCCTTTAATGTGATTGTGTTTACTGTGGTTGCTCCTGCGTGTTTGTTTTGGTTATTAATAAAGTGTATTTGTTGGATCCTCCTTCTTCATGGGCATGTATTGCAGTCAGTACATGTAACAACAACCTTGAGTTGACATGGAACATACGGTATGTTCTTATGCAGTTATGCTAAAGAAAAACTTGTCTTCTGTTTATCTCCATTCCTCAACATTTCAATCAAGAGTTTTTATTTGCCCGCGTAATCTTTAATCAAAATGACTCAAATAACCTCCCCTCTATCTTCTCTTTGTGTTTACAACAGGTCACTCACATGACATGACATCACATCAATAGCAAATGACAATGACCCAACCATCCAATCAACTCCCCGTGGACAAAATCAACTACTTCCATCAACTACATGGATGGTTGTAGGATCAACTACAACCATCCTACTTTTTTCTGTTTAAGAAGCTTCACCAGCATATTCATCACAAAAAAGAGGAAATAACTTTAGGTCTCTGTTTCATGCGGAAATTTAAGAAAAAAGAGGAAATAAGGACTCTTTTGGCCAAAATTAAAATATGGTGTGCATGTCCAATCAATGTTGTTGTAAATTTATAACTTATAACATAATACAAGCATTTACAAATATAGGCTACAGTGTGAAATCTTGAAACCTTACGTATCTATGATACATCAGCCAAAACAGTCTACATTTCAATTATTATTGTTTTATTTTTTTTTTTTGAATAGGCTATTGGCATTTGGAATTAATTCTTTCAATTGTGTGGAATATTATAGAAAATATAATGTAAATTCTTCTTTTAAACTATTTTTGTGCTCCTGCATGTGCCATCATTAAATATGGTAAATATGATAAAGTGTATTTTTCCACATAATCTGCCATCATCATCCTGAAACGTTATTATTGGCATTCATTATTGAAAAAATCAAATCTGTCTAGGCTTCATATCGAGGCAGGGTGGACGACATTTAAAAGCCCATTTGACTAGTAGACAGCTCACAAAGTGCACCTAGGTAATTGACATTACGGGTTACGAAATAAACAACATCATCAAACCAGCAAAAACTTGAGCAGTGAAGTAACGTTATCTTACCTGACAGACAGTAATGATCTCCCCATGCTGCTCCTGCATGTGTCAGTCAATTCGTTTGTTTCTCAACGCATGTAGCGTTTCTCTGTGTGCCTCTTACTGTTGACTACAATCGCCAGGAAACTGAACTGAACACGCTCTAGCTCGCGCGCGCACTACTGAAGCGCGAGGACTCTGAACCAACTGTTGCGCGTGACTTCCTTACAGGTAAATTAAAGTTGAACCCACCCACACCCACTCTACCCTTATGTCGTAAAGTATACTAATTCGTTATCTCTCTTTATGATAAGTTATTGGCATAAATATTAGCCTAATTATTGGTTTGAGGCGAAATCAGGATTTCTGATGACACTATAAACACACGGGAGACGATGCACACGATATTCTGTAGTTCTCACGACAGTAAATTCACTCTTAAAATATATATATATATTTTTTTTTTTTTGTCGCAGTGATGTCTTAGACAAACCATTTTTGTTTGCCAAAAGAACAGTTCAGTAAAAAACTCTTAAATGTTTTATGAGGACTGTCCATAGACATAATCATTACCATACAAACTGTATAGTATATCCTTTTTACAACAACCCCACCCATCACACAAAACTTTGTGCACTTTTACATTTTCAAAAACCATTACTTTTTTATGATTTATATGTCTTTCCTTACGGGGACCAAAAAATGTCCCCACAGGACAAGGATTTCAGATATTAGCATTTGTGGGGACAACTTGGCCCCATACCAGGCCACTCACACAGCCATCAAATTTGGATTTTCACATAATCGCAAACAAGACGTAGTCATTGAGAGCATTCTCCTCAGTAACTAGTCAAGAATTTTATGTGTTTCATGGCAGTCATTAAAAATATTTTAAATATCCAAGAAACCCAATTTAGAAGGCATTCCAATATTTTAAGCAATGCAACTGAATGCCACCATATTGTTATGCACATTAACTGAATACCCTAAAATTCCTTCATCTGGTATCACTTCCGCAACACATTTACATTTATATCCAAAATGTTAAAAATAATTGTGCGGCTTAATATTTTAGTGGAAACCTGTTTTTCCAGGTTAAAAAGTAACTAAACCCCTGGTCAGAACCTGACTCCACCCACTGGCAATATTTGAAAAAATGCTGAAAAAAATAGCATTTTTACTGAACATTTAAGCATTAGTGCGGAGCCCAACGAAGCGAGGGCGGGGCGTGCACCTGAGACCCGCAGTGACAGCTGTTGTAAGGCTCTAAAATGGAGAGTGAATGGAGTGAGTGCAACAGAGCAGTCATTTGAAGTCGAGGACTTTTCTCCCCCACCTTCACCTGAAGTGGAGGAGGGTGAATTGACTGTGGACACAGGGACCATATCAACTCGAGCTGCTGGCTCAAACTCCGGTCTTAAACATGATTTAATGACTCATAAATGTAAGTACACAATGACGGCCTAAGACATGAAATGAGCGGTTTGTGTGAGAAAACGAACAGTATTTATATTGTTTTTTCCTCTTGTAACCAGAGCCACAAAGTGCCCGCGCCCTCAGATCACTTGGACGTGGCTGAGTCGTTAAATCATGTTTAATTTGGACTTCTCTGTGCATGCTCTTTAAGGCGGTGACCATAGACCTCCATTATAAGAGTGACAGACAACGGTTTGACATCAAAATATCAAAATTGAAACTACTGTGGAAACAAAGACACATCTTGGATGCCATTGAGGTAAGCTAAAACATACCCAAAAATGATTTCAAAGTGAACTACCCCTTTAACTCCCGCATCGCCATCTGATGAGTTTTGTGGAGTTGATGTCAATAGTGCGCACTCTCTGTAGGCATATATTCATATTGATATTTTGCCGCTATGTGAAAAAATCCAGCAAAATGCGCCGACGCATTTGTCGACCCCAGAGGATTAACTTTAGCCTAACCATAAATTATGATTAAAATATACATGATCACTCACATCAAGACACCACTGCGGTGGTGGAGGCCATGCAGGAGGAGCAGTGTTTGGCACTGCGTCTCTTCAGTGCAAGCTGTGTGGTGCATGTCCACCTCTATTCTGTTACCATCCTGACCACTGTAATAAATCTATGCTAACTTGAAGCTATCCTAGCTGTACTATACTACCAACGAGGCTACACAAAATAAATCTAAATAACTATAAAAATGCTAGATGCTAAAATACTCTTATCCTGATTGTTTTCAATACTCATATTTCCAACTCTTGTCTCACAGTGGTCTTAACAAAACAAGACAGTTATTATACTGCCAAGGGTGTGGTGAGCTGGAACCTGCTTACATCACAAAGCACCGCAAACATCCAATAGGAAAATTCAACTGCAGTACTGTAAAGTTCAACCTGTAAAAGGGCAGCACTCAGGTGTTTTTACACCATATATTGTGGAATTAAAACACTATATACCCAAATGTCAAAAGTTTCTTGAATCAATAATGAGCACTAATAAAACCCCATTCTTACAGATCATTAACAAAAAAGCTGGTGCAGTTACCCTTTGAGAATTAGTGCAGGGTCACACCAGTGCACAAATAAATCATTTGAATAAATGTTTATCCCTATATCACATTTCATTGGTGTTATCAATTTTCAAAAGAACACTGGATTAACCAGAGGAACATTATTTACTAGTGTTATTTATTTGTGAAATATTATCAAATAAATGGTAGAATTACAGCTTTTAATCTTCATTCATAAGTCATTAACAGCAAAAGTTAAATTATATGCAAGTTTAAGTAAAGAAAAAGCAAGTTAGTTTTTGTAAGTACCTTAAATTACATTTCTATTTTAAATTGAAAAATGGTTGGATCTTAAATCAGTTTCTTTAACCCTTAAATTCTTTCTGCTCTTTTAATTTTATATCCTCAGGCAAAACAAGATCCATTAACGCATTGTGATGTAAACTAAAAGCTGCAGACTAGCAGGAGAGCACGAATGGACGGACACAAAAGTATTTTAATATTTTATTCGAGGACCATGCAATAGCCATTACTGGCCCTTGACATTTTTACAAGTGTAGATCCTTCATTACCTCTACATAGTACAAAATAACTTTAAGTTACTAAAAAAAGAAACACAACTAACAAAAAGGGGGAGGGCAGGGAAAAAAAAAAAAAAAAATCCTGCACAGCATGTACATTTTACAACCTGCTTTGAAGAAATAAGGTTACGTGAACAGAACAATGAAAGATTAAGATTTGCTAAATGAAACTGCATTTACTGAGGGAATGCAGGAGGGGCCATGGGGAACGGCATGGACTGTTGCATCTGTTGAGGGTTAAAGGGGAACGGTGGAGGGTGGTTCATGCTGCTCTGAACGCTCCCTTGATTGGGACCAAACTGCTGGTTCTGATAGCCTTGGTTTCCAAAGCCACCAGACTGATTGCCAAAACTACCCTGTCCGTTATTGCTGTAACCCCCATTAAAGCTGCTACTGCTGCCTCCGCCGCCGCTGTAGCCACTAGATCCGTTTTGAGTCTTGTTTCCAAACACCTTCTTTTGCCCATATGAGTCACCACCATTACGGTTGTCCTGGCTGTAGCTGTTGAAGTCCCGTCTGCTGCTGGAGTGGCGATCCCGGCGGTCATCCCTAAACCCCCCACCTCGCCCTCCCCTTGAACGACCTGGAAAAGAAATTAGAGTTATAGTAGGATTCGCAGCCAGGTCAAACTAAATCTGAGCCGTACCCTTCTAGAGAGATTATGAAGGACAAAACTGTGAAGGTAAACCACAGTTCTTGTATCTCACCAATTGGATTTACCTCCTCTGTCTTCGGCCATTTGGATGAGCTTGGGGTTTATGGCTTGGTTAGCCTCCCGGAGGACAGAGACGAGGTCGTGGGCCTGTTTCATGTTGTTGGGCGTAAAGAAAGTGTACGCCGTGCCAGTTTTCTGACTGCGAGCCGTACGGCCAATGCGGTGAATGTAGTCCTCGGAATTGTTGGGGTAGTCATAGTTAATGACAAATTTGACGTCCTCCACATCTGTTAAGAGAAAGTGGCCGTGCCATGGCAGGAATAGAGGAGTGCGGGTGCACACCGCCACAGCAGCGAAAATAATAGACGTTAGCAAGGGAAACAAATGTTTGATAGGTCATCGACTTACCATGCTGAGGAAAGGATGGTTAAAAATCAGGACTTAAAGGCTCCAAATGAAAATTAACATTGTCCTCTATTAAAAGTGACAAGACAAACTGCTGCATCTTGCCAAGACTCAACTTGCCCAAACAAGACCGATTAAGGGCTTAAATTTAAGGCTGACGCAAGCTTTCCAACCAACCGGTGCTCACTTGAAAGAAAATATGATTCTCTTTGGCAGGACTCGACATGACTGAAGCCAGCAAAAGGAGGGCACGCATCGACCAGCCGGGTAATCGCATTCAGTGCGGAGGCATGTAGATTAAAGCAACTGCTCTCGATGGCAAAACACTAAATTTTTTTTACAAGACACGTCCTATTACGTAAACGCCCAGTCCTTATACTTAAAGTTCAACAGTTCAAGCTGTTGCGCGAGAGCAGATGCGAGCAGGACGCAAGTGCGACCACACAACGGCGCCGCACTCCTCCATGGTATGCCGCCCCTTGGATTACGCCCCAATCACAGAGCTCCGACCACCTCTGAATGCAATTTGATTGGCTGGCAGACAGGCAGAACTCCACAGAGGAGCTCCTTACCCCCTCCTGGTGAACCTGGACGCGTCATGCCAAGGTCCTGCCTCCAAGACTCCACCTTCAGGTGAGAGGGGCTCAGAAAGGCACAGCAGTTAAAAGGAAACGGCAGAACTTCATAGAAAACACAATATGAAAGTGTTAAAAGGACATATTGAAAAGTAACAAACCTAGTCCTCTGGAGGCGACATCTGTGGCAATGAGGATGGGTGCTTTTCCATATTTGAATTCTGTTGAAGTAGGAAAACAAGTCAAGTGAATCAACCAAGAATAAGTTGGGAGATGATCAAAGACCTTGATGGCAAATACATACCATTGAGCACCCAATCTCGTTCCTGCTGGCTTTTGTCTCCATGGATACCCATTGCTGGCCATCTGCAAGAGAAAAAGCCAATGAAATTCCTCCACTTGACATTCACAAAGTAATTGTAACACAGAAAAGCAGAGGTCATCTTACCCATCCCTACGCATCCTCCTAGTAAGATCATCAC